GCGTCATAAACAAAAGAGCAGCGCACTGACACAACTACTCATATCTTAAACAAGAAAGGACAGTAATCTGTGATAGAGGAAACGACAGCCATAAAGAGCTGTGAAGCCTGTGAAGCCTGAGTCTACATCCTGGAGAACGACAATTTCAAGTCAAAAGCCCAATTACACAAGTAAAGGAAAATTCTCATGCTGCTTGCAGTAAACAATGTTAGCTGTGGCGTGCTCCTATGGAAAGCCTTCCAAGGAAAGCCTTCCTACATTTATGTTACTGTTGTTAATTATCAGGATAAAAGATTTTTAAAATCATGACATAAAAGAAAAAAATAAACAAAATCAAGTAAATATTATGGGAAGAGTTGGCATATGTAGCACAGAATTTCACATGTCCTTCTCGTCAATCTGGAGCAAGCTATTTACTTTCTAAATGAACAAAAGAAAGCTGGCTTTTCAACAGAAGCCTAGGAATATGAAGGGCTCTTCATCTCTTTCTCTTAAGCAGATTTTTCTAAAAAGATTGAAACAAGAATCCACATTGTGTAATTTTGAGAAGTATGCTAATTAATAATCAGCCGTAAGATAATACGAGGCGTTGAAATTGCCATGCTGGAAGTTAAGTGTAATAATGATAACTAAACAGCTAAAATTTATTTAACAGCATCACTGATAGCAGTGCAATATTTGTTATCTCACTGGATCCTCACGATACTCCTATGAATAAGTTCTATGGTTCATTCCCTCATTTACTCACGAGGAAACTAAAGTTCATATATAAGAAACTGCCCTAGGTCACACCGCTAGTAAGTATGAGAGCTGGGGCTTAGACCCAGCTCTGGCTGACTCTAAAATAATCAATCAGGTCTACTAATAAAAATATTTAGCAATTTCAAAGTAGAAATTTTTCAACAGATGAAGCATTCCTTCAGGAATTAATAGAATAAAGACATATAAATTATCATCCATCATTATTCAAGGTAGCAAAAGATAAGATTATTAGTACATAATACATACTAATAGTACAAAATAACTTCTGATTTTCAAGTTACTTAATTATGAGGTTGGGTTGCAAACTTTCTTTGCCCAGTTCTTGCAGTGGATGATCTGAAGTTGTATGAATAAAGAATTACTAAAAGAAATGAATTCCAATTTGATGAGATCAGCTACTCCCTTAAATACAGACTAATTCAATGTGAATCAGAATTTTCAATTATTTGTGAAGAGTTAAAATCATAACATAGATTATCTCTATCTCAGAAATTGTTGATCTCATCATTCAAGAACTTTAAAATGTACTATTTCATTTGAACGATTTTAGGGATACAAGATATGCTAGCCAAAAGGTATTAGAACTTTATTAAGTTTTTTTTTTACTCTGATTACCAAAGTAAAGACTCGCACTTAGATTATTAAGGTTTAAATTAATATTTGAAGCCATGTTAATTTGCTGGAAAAAAAACATATTCTAAAATTCATAATAAGTACAATTATCAGAATTTACCCATGTACAAGAACAATTCCACATTTTAGAAAAGCATTATAAAAAGCAATCAGGAAAACAAAAAAAAGTAATCAGCAGAAATTCAAGGGTTGAGACACTCTTACAAGACAAGACGGAAACAAATCTTTAAGTCTTGTCAATACTTATGAGAATACACAGTACATAGTCAATACAATGAGAATAAAGAGTGTCATGACTCCTGGATATTCACTGATCCCAAATAATCATTTTTTAAAGGAAGGACATGTGTAATGGAGTAACGCTATTTTAATAAGGATTTTAAAAAAAGGTGAGAAAGTGATTCTGGAACAGTGATATTAGGGCTCAGAGAAACCCCTACCACAGAGAGATGTCTTTTAAGTAGATATACCTATAGACATCTATAGAACACTCCACCGCAATCAAAATCACCAAAACAAGAAGTTCTCTGACTACAGTGGAACTAAATTAGAAATTAATAACAGCCAGAAATCTGGTAAATTCACATATATGCAGAAATTAACATACTTCTAAAGAACCAATAGGATACAGAAGAAATCACAATAAAGATTATAAAATACCTTCATATGAATGAAAATAAAAACACACCATAAAACTTATGGGATGAAATAAGCTAGGATACAGAGGGAAACTGATTAAGTAAAAATGCCTATATTAAAAAAGAAAAAAGACATAAAATCAATAACCTAATTATCTGTCTTAAAAAACCTAGAGAAATAACAAATTAAGGCAAAAAGCAAACAAAAGGTCAGGCAAAATAATGGTAGAGTAAAAACTGATAAATTAGAGAATAGAAAAATGAGAGAAAATGAGCAAATGTTTCAATAGACTGACCAACTAAAAAAGGGAAAAGACTCAAAGTATAAAATCAAGAACGAAAGAGGAGAGAGCAGTTCCTACCTTCAAAAAGAAAAAGAATTAAAAGGAATACTATGAACAACTATATCCCCCAAAACTAGATCACTCAGATGAAAGAGGCAAATCCCTAGAAAGATGAAACTGCCAAAGTAACCCATGAAAAAAATTAAAAATCTGAAGAATCAGTAAGAGATTATATTAATTTAAAAATTTTTAAAAAACTCCTACAAAGACAAGTGCAGTACCACACAGTCTAGCTGTTTCTGAGTTACTTAGTGATTAGCGAACCATCATCACAATGTTTAAAAACCTTAAAGATGTATTTTAAAGATATTAATGAAAACTAAGTTACTGTCTAAAACAAGAGAAGCAAAATAAGATAATTATCACATGAACTTCTTATGCATGAATTTAGAATGGAAAAAAATTTTTTCTTATTGCTCCATGGGCCATAAGTCACCAATATTTACATTATAAAGGCATCTAACCTACCAAGAAAACATTGCCTATTTTTCTTATCTAAATTATTTTTTCCATATTACTGTGAAGTTGATCCTCTGTATGTTCTTAGACACATTGGTAGTAAAATTTTACGTGATAAATAAAATGTCAGATGTATTCCTCCTCAGAGTACTGCAATACCTTTGTGCAAAATATGAAGTTCATCAGCAAATCTATATGGTAAGCTATATGCAAAGTATTTACACCAAAGCTCCCTACTCTAAGAAAATTTATGTATTTTGCATACAAATATGATAAATTAAACATAACTTTGTAGAATACTTGATTTGATGCCTCATCCTTTTAAGCAAATCATACTACCTAATGCCTCAAACTTTTAAATCCTCTTTCTAAACGAGTGTCAAATGATGGTACTAGACCAAGAAGAGGTGAAACCAAATTTCTTCAAATACAATTTGCAAAATATATTTGCAAATTTCTCATATACACTTTTAAGCTTATTAGTTACTAGTGTTGAAAGTAATATACAATAAGACTATTTTCAGCAAAGGAAATATGTGAAGCTAGAACCAAAGAAAGATTTAAAATATCAAATACTGAGCTTTTTATAAAAAGACATATAATGTAATAAGTACTTTCAAGACATATAATTTAGAATTCATAAATAAAAATAAGTAAAATATAAATCCATCTAAGTATATATTACTTAATACACCAAGAGAATTATGTAAACTGCACTATTTCAATTCCTCCCCCTTAGCTTTGGGGAAAGAAAGAAGATGGTTCAAGATAGATCCTATACTTTCCCCAACTCAATAACCGTAAAGCTGGTTAATATTAGTAAAACTAAAAAGTCACAACATAAAAAAAAGGAGCCAATAATCACACCTGTAAAAACGAGACTTTTAAAAATTAATCTTCTCAATAATAGCACCAATTTCTATGTTGGGCATGGTCACAAAAATGACCTTTCATGTCCCAAGACATATCTACTAGACTTTTTAATACTTTGGATTTTTTTTTAAGTGCTTTTCACGTAAATTAATTCTGGATCTACCTCTTTTTCTACTCTTATCCAAATAACTTCTTGTTACAGGAAGCTTTTTAACATTAAATTATCAGCTAATTAAAATGATGGTAACTTCTACTATCATGTCTAGGGATGAAATTGAATCATAAAGAATTACTACATTCCAAATATGGTAGAAAAGACTTTTTTTAAACATTTACTGTAATAATTAACAATAAAAAAAACTTTAAATGCCTACTTACACAGTATAGTTAAACTAATTATGGCGTGTGTGTATATCCACACCCACATGCTGTGAAATACCACAGAACAAAGACAAAAAAAGGATGTTTGAATATACTAACAGGAAAATATATATTGACAAGTAAATACAGCATGAAATCAAAGAATAGATTGCTAAGGATAACATTTTTCCAAAAGCATATCAAAATTATATAGCATGATATGAATATATATACACACACACATACGCAAAAATATGAAGGAAAAGCTCCAGAAGGATAAGCTCCAGAAGGATGCACACACAACTGTACAAACTGTACACACACTCTGAGCAGACCTGTGTGAATTACATTTCAACAAGAATGTATTCCTCAGTTACTGGGTGGAGAAAAATGATCTAACATGAAATTTAGGGGAAAAAATTTTGTCATTAACCTCTCAATTTTCCTTAAACGATTACTCTTATATCGGCACAGAATCAAAGAATAATTCTGGGTGTATCACTGATCAATATTCACTGTAATTTCTGTTACTACTTAAATGTACCCAAACCTGTTTAATTTGTTTAAGAAAAACAGATATGACAATATTTTGCTGATTTGTATCATGCCTTTTTCTATAAAAGGTGGAACCACAGTAAAAACAAAAATGCTAATCTAACAATTTATTATACAGTATTTTGTTTTCAAACTTTAACTGCCAAATCTTGTGCTTTCAAATACTCTGTAAGTTCTCAAACGCAAAGCAACTTCGAGCATTATCTTTGTAGTCCACAGAGTATGCTTTCAATGAACATCTACTGGTCAACCGAAAGGAAGTCTATACCTAAAGAAGACTACACTATAATTCTGTAATTTGTCCATGTGTGTAATCTTTTTTACTAAAGTTTGCCAAAGTGGAAAGAATAAAGAAAACAGCACCTCAAACCTGTACCTTATATTCATCCACAATGATGCTGAGGGCTTCATGACCAGCTTTCCTCATGTCTTCCAGTTCCTGTTTATGTTTTTCCTGAAAGAAAATAAGAAACTAAGCCATGATTTGTTCTTTTGTTTACAAAATAGTAAAACCATTGACTTTCACAGCCATGAGTGATTGAGGGGTTTGTGGCACACCAGTGCTATAGCTGAAAACAAAGAGAAAAGCTGTTTTGGGGGAAAAAAAAGTTCTGTTTAAAAGCATTCTGGAGGTCTCTGGTGATGAGAAATCAAAGGGAAACAATAATTGCGAAAGGAAAACCATGCAGGGGGGAAGGTAACATTAGGAAATGGTGTTTTCTGTTGGGGCATTTGGCAATTCTGGACGTGGATCTAGACGCAGAAAGCTCTGTGTTACTTCAACAAGCTAGGGTCTCTCTCTTCTTTCTTCATTACTTCTCCAGTAATACACATATACCAATTGTTTAATACATAAAAAAGTTTGAGAACCACTGAATTAAGGTGATCAATCCCCACTCTACCTTCCTAGGAAAGGAGAGTCCGAACCCTCTTTGGGAAATGTTCACATGCTACAGAGCTTTTCCAGTTTTTCAAGTACAGTGTTCAGCTTTCAATACAAAATCATCAGAGATGAGAAAAGATGAGATTAAAGAAATATAAAGCAGAAAAGACAAAAGAAATAGACCCACAGGTGATTCATGTATTACTTATTGAAGGGTTTAAAATATGTATGACTTATAATTCAAGAAAATAGAGAAGAAATGGAAAAAGTCAATAGGATAGAGGTTTTCATCAGAGAGCTGGAATTCATAAAACAGGAAGTCTACAGCTGAGAAAAATGCACTATTAATAACTCAGTAGAGGAGGTAAACAGTAGGTGAAACAGCAGAAAGCAGGATAAGAGAACTAAAATGACTGGGAGGCGGGGAATAGACAGCAGTAAAAAGAGGAATATGATGGAAAATAGAAAAAAAAAGAAAAAAAAACCTTTAAAAAGACATGGAATAGAGTAAAAAGATCAAAGACATGTAACAAAAGATGATCCGAAGAAAGAAGGAAAAAATGAAATGTAGTAAGATGATAACAAAGTTTTGAAGAAAAATAAAAACCGCAAATTTCCAACATTATCCGTGAATTCAGGATATTACATAACCTACAAATATTTCTAATAATAATATATTACTAAATATTGTATCAATAAAGATGAAATTTTAGATGAAATGCAAATACTTCTAGGAAAAAGCAAAAGTGAAAGATGAAATAATAAATCAGTGTTAAAAAAAACAAACCTGTATTAATTTAAAAAATAACAAAAAAATAAATCTTCTGACCAAGGACTTTGGGGCTGACCAAGCCCAGATGACTTGACAGGTAATTTTAATAAACATTTAACAGAAATCTTACACAAAACCTTCCAGCGTACAGAAAAAGATAGAATACTTCACCACGTAGACAGCATATCCTTTATACTAAAATCAGCAAAGATATTTAGAAAAAAAATAATGAACCAATCTCTTTTATGAAAATAGAAACTAAAATTCTAAACAAAATAATAGCAAATAGAATCTAGCAATACATAAATAAGATAATACATTTCAACCAAGTCAGGTTTATTTTAGGGATGTCAGGTTGGCGGAAGTGACATACACCATTTCAAGCATTAAACCTCCCACCTTGCATTTCTTCCCCTATTTGCTTGCTGGATATTAATGCCCAAGATGACAATTAAAGCCACGTGCTGCATACAGCACCACCACCCCTGCCAAGGGCTGCAAATGACTGCACCACCACCACCTCAGTGGACTTTGAGAGAAAATTAACTATATTTAGGGCAAATGATAACACCAGTAGTCCTTGTCAATTTACTGCTACCATCTTCTCATATGAACGTCTCTTATATCAGCTCCCCTCATTTGTTATACCTTACTGATCCAACAGGTTCCATTTCATTATCAACATCTAATTCCTCTTTCTCTATGTCCCTTTGTGTATCTTATTGTAGTGAAATCAATTTCTCAAAATAACCTAAACATAAAGAACCAACAGGGGCATTTGTAATAAAGCCTGATTTTTGTTGATATGATTATCAATCTATGGCTCATGGCAGCAATCTTTTTAAAAGTCATTTTCCCATTTCTGTGAGAGTTGTTTTAATAAAAACTAGACGACATAGCAGCAAAATCCAACTACCCAGTTAAGCAAGCTCATCCATTTAGCATACTGTTACATGCACACATTTAATACATTGTTATAATAAAAGCAAGCAAACAAATGTAGGCACCACTACCAACTCATCATTATGGAACTGCCATTCAGGTCAGGTTACCTCACCAAGGGGATGTGATGATTTCATAAAAGGCTCTAGGAGGGCAAAAGCATCAATTTAAATATTAACAAAGTTTTGGTTTTCTTACTTTTCAAGATAAAAATAAACAGAAACAGGAGTTCTGGCATTTTCTTTTCACATCACAGAGCCATATCTTAGGCAGTTCTTGGGATTCATATACGCCTCCTAGGCATCAGTGATTTAATGACAAACTCATATAAAGTAGGCTACATGATCAAACTGCAGAAGTTAACAACATATATTAAACATTAAACTTCCTACAAACCCAGAAGTAAAAAGAAAAAAAGGTGAGCTTTACTGAAACCAGCATTTTTCAGACTTAACTTATTAAATATTAATTTACTTTTCTTTTTCTCTCTTGACAATATTACTAACTAATCTCCTCCAGGTTAGAATAGGAACTGAGAAACAAAAAGTTTAAAAAGTTTTTTAGAGTTAATTAGTCTAAAGCAAAGCAAACTAACCAAGATCCATTAAGTAAAACTGAGAATATATTCTACTTTTACCTCATTAATTACAAATTGAGGGTAAATAGGCACAATTTCAATTATAAAATCTGATCACTCAATGACTATGGTCCTGAATAAGGACATGAATCATTAAAAAGTGTTTGCATGCTATTAAAGGTGCATATGGAGTATAATGTTTTATTAAGTAACACATATAAAAGATCTTTTCTAATGGATAATCTGCAAATGTTCAAAATGTTCTATGACATTATGTTTTATTATAATTGAAAATAAATACTTTCTCAATAGCTGTATCTTCTCACAGCAATTCAGTGCTCTTCACAGCCCCTTAGAACATAGCAACTGTTGACAAATGTTTGCTGGATTATGCTGAAATCCTCACTACTGACATCATGAGCTTCTATCATCATTTACATACCAGAACTAAAATATTAATTATATTCAATATATACTTCAGAAAAAAAATGTTAAATTATATAGAGGTATTCGATATTATTCATCATAATTCAAGGTAGAAAACGTAGACTCTCTGAGTACCATGAAATTTACAGTTACTAATCATCTAAAACTTTTCCCAGATGCCATCATTTTATACCAAATTTTCTTTTTAAGCGTTATATTTAATTAAACAATTACTATACACCAGACTCCACTCGGCTCTGGGGATAAAAGGATGATGAAAGTATAATAGTCACTTCCAGTCTAGTAACACAGAAGATTACCTGTATATGGTAACTTCAAAGTGATAACGTGTATGAAATAATTTTGTTAATTAAGACAAAAATAAAGTACAATTACCGCTGCCACTAGTATCACAGTTGTTACTGCTACTTTTCAATAAAGAACAAAACACATTCATTATTGTAAGACAAAACATCAGCAAAACAGTAGAAGACTAAACAACATATAAACCAACTAGAAGAAACAAACAGCTCTAGAATACTCCAACAGCAGAATATACATTCTTCTCAAGAGGCCAGGGAACATTCCCCAGGATAGACTACATGATAGGCCAAAAAAATTTTAAATATTGAAATAATATAAGGTATGTTCTTTGACCGCAAGGGGAAATGAAACTCGAAATAATTAATAGTGAGAAACTAAGAAAGTTCACAAATGTGTGGAAATTAAACAGCACACACCTAAATAAGGAGTGAGTCAAAGAAGAAATCACAGGGGAAATTAAACATCTGTATTAAAGAAAGAAGAAAAATCTCAAGTCAATAACTTACCCTTTCACCATAAGAAACTAGAAAAAGAAAACTAAACCCAAAGCCAGCATAATGAGGGAAATAAAAATATTGGAAAGAAAATAAAAAGAGAACAGAAAAATAGAGAAAATCAACTTGACCAAAGTTGGATTTTTAAAAATTCAACAATATTGACAAATCTTAGCTAGAGTGATGAAGAAAAAAATGGCGATAGCTCAAATTATTAAAATAAGTAATAAAGGAAAGGACTTACTACTGAACTTGAAGAAACAAAAAGGAGTATACAGAAATATCATAAACAATAGTGTGCCAAAAATTAGATAACAACCTTGTCATGGACCGATTCCTAAAAATATGCAAACTACCAAAACTGACTCAAGAAGAAACAGAAAATCTAACAGACTGATAACAAGTAAAGAGATTGAATCAGTAATCAAAAACTTTGTACTAAGATAATCCCTCCTTCCAAAATGACTTTCACTGGAGATTTCGAACAAATGTTTAAAGAATTAACACCAATCTTTTTCATACTTTTCCTAAACAGAAGATGAGGGAACATGTTCTAACTCATTCTCTGAGGCCAGTTTTACACTAATCAAAACCCTGTCAAACACCACACAAGTACAAAGTATTCAGAATACATAAATAACTCTCCTAATTCAGCATCAAAAAGATTACCACTTTTTTTAAAATGGGCAAAAGACTTGTGTAGATATTTTTCCAAAGATACAAATGTTCAATATTATTAGCCACTATGGAAATTCAAGTCAAAACCACTGACATCCAACAGGATGGCTACAATACAAAACACTGGAATTAAGTGGTGACACCACTGAAACCCTCACACCCTGCTCCCTCACACCTTTCTGGTTGAAATGTAAAACAGTGTTTCCATTATATAAAACAATTTGGCCATTCCTCAAAAAATTAAACATAGAGTTACCAAATGTCCCAGAAATTTCACTCCTAGTTATATACCCAAGGACACTAAAAACAGGCATTCACACAAAAACTTGTACATGAGTGTCCATATCAGCATTATTAA